AATGAAAAATGATAGTCTTATTTTGGGCCTTGAGAACCCAATAGGAATAATTTCCCTTTAGTACGTAGCTTTCTGTTCTTTTTGGGCCACTCTTTTGGGCTTAGCCAAACTAAAACAGTTACGTTTCTCAAACCAATCGAAACTGATTTTCTAATTAAAACAGTTTCAATTCCTTGGTAACTGGTAAAAGATTCCTTTTGCTTTTCAACTTCTTGGAAGTTGAAACTCCTTTACTCTATCCGTTCCAACTACCCACTTAATGGAACCCGTGAACCTCCTCCTCCCCTATTTAAATCAAGATATCTCAATCCATTTCCATCACAAATAACTCTCTCAATATGAAAAGTCCTCAAACTCACTGTCTAAGGAACACACCAAGAAAAATATCCTCAATGGAGAAATTTTTCTTTCTCACCCTCATAGACGGCAATGGAAGAAGCCTATTGAGAAGAAAAGACTTTTAAGGTCTATGGTGAGAATCTTGGCAGTAGAGAAGGTCTATGGTGGAAATCTCATATTTTTCAGTATTAGACCATACACCTTCTCTGGAACAACACTCTCTCTATCTTTCTTCTTATTTTGAGAGATGTGTTGCTTCCAAGATCTTAAATATCCACTTTGGATATTAAAGATCTATCAAACGCAACGCCAACCGCTCTGCCAAGCAGAATCTGCTGAAGCTGAAAACGGTCAATGGCGGAAGATATCACAAAATGTCAAGACAAGACTTGGTTTAGGAATTATTGTAATTTGAATTGTATTTGTTTAAGAGTTTTTGTTAACAAGCTGTATATTATGAGAAACTAAAAGAAAGTTATAAAATTAGTTCTCTTTATAGCGACCGGAACTCTTAAACACTTGTTTGTCATCATCAAAAAGGGGGAAATTGTTGGGAAAAATATTATAGATTTTGATGATGATGTATTTAGAATGTATTAGGGACTTTAAGTCTCCCCCAATATTCAATGTAATTTTTCTTTTTAGAAATATTGTCAAAACCGAGCTCTTGAGATTTCCAATAAAACTGTGATATTTCTTTAAGCGTTTTGATGCCTGAAGACTTAATCAAATTCAGTGATGTGAAAATTGGATATCTTGATCGGAAGTGTCAGAGACAAGTAAGGATTTCTCAATCAGATGTAAATCCTTAGATCCGGAAGACTACATAAGAACCGGATGTCTCGCCACAACCCGCTGAAGGCTAAGTCATCCAAATCGGAAGACTAGCGCGGATCTCTTTCTCACATGGAAGTCTGAAAATGACTCATCCGGATTTGTCAGCTAAGAATCGGAAGACTCACTGAAGACCGGAATTCTCAGAAAGCGGACAAGTGAGAAAAGACTTAGAAAATTATCTAAGTCCTGAATGAAGAAATTCTACCCGTTGGCAAGGAAAAATCAATCTCTTGATTTTCAACGGCTAGATTGAAGATAATTATGCTGATTCAATAACAAATTACTCGAAGACAAAGTCTGGGCCTCTAAAATTAAAGAGCCTGCCCAGAATTCCTAAACAAGCACTAGAAGACAAACAGAGTAAAGTGCTACAGTCTTGAATTCTTGAACAACGGCTAGAAGACGGATTTTGTGGAAAAAGGAATCCTTTCTCAACAATTGGGTACGTCCAAACACCCACTTCAACGAAGAATCTTCAAATCACAATCTTCATTCAAAATTGAAGCCAGCAAATGCAACGGATAATCTATTATGATTCAACGGATAGATTATCCAATCCAGCTATAAATAGCATCCTTGGAAGACTGGAGAGAGTACGATGAGATACAACAACACAACGAAGGAATCACAAAAGCTATCTCATTCACAGTTAGCCCAAAAAGCTTGATAAAGAGAGATTTCTAAACTCCTTATCCAGAAGCAAACTTCTCCTCCTTCCAAAAAGCTATAGTGTAAACACTTGAAGGTTTCCTTGCCTCAAACACCACACAACGTTGAAGGATATTACTTTTGATCAAACTTATTGATTAAAAAGGGGGTAGGTCAACTCTCTTACAAGTTGATCTTGCAAGTCCTATTGTTTGGATCTTGCAGTTGTTGAAGAAGTTTGACCTTCGAAGGAACAACAAAACCAGCACGAGTGCAGTAGCAACATTGCTCTTGTGAAGATATACCGTGCAGAAATTCACACAAGTGTAATTGTTGGTTCATTATTCAACAACCAACTACATAGTGGATTTTGAGGACGTAAAAGGATTACCCCACCTTCGAACCTCGTTAAAGTTTGCGTGTCTCTCTCTTATCTTTATTTTTACTTGCAATTATATTAACTGTGAAAACTAACATATCCATATTCATTACTGCTCACTCTACCCACCAAAATTCCGCACACAATCTAAAGTTCACAAGGACTCTAGATTAACACTCATTTTCACGTTTTCAAAAGAAACGAAAAAGATTTTAAATCTGTAAAAAAATCTATTCACCCCCCCCCCCCTCTAGACTTTGTATTTCACCACTTTGGGACCACCAGTGAGCGACACACGATGGACGACCGGCCGTGACATCCGATGGAGGGCCAGTGGGAGAAATCGATTGTGTCAGATATCGTGCGAGGGAAGAAATCGTGGGAGGGAAGAGAGGGAATGGGAAAGGAAAAAAGGTGGGTGGGGAAGGTGGGGGGGGAGGGGTTTGGCCGTGTGGGTGTATATGGTGGTCGTTTTGGGGTACCCGTACGGTGTACCCCTAGCGGGACTGTTAATAATATTTGAACATAAATTATTGAATAAAAGTTATATTAGATATTGATTCAAAAATAATTTAAGTAGATATATTATATAGAATATTTTCAAAATGTTATTTTATCTCGATCACAAATTATTTTATTTAATTATAGGTTAAATGTTAAAAACGATTAACTAAAAAAGTTAAAATTGGACAAAATACGTACACTAAGACGAAGGTAAATAATTTTTATATTATTTTTTTACATAAACTTTTTTCTTTAAATTTCTTTTTGCTTCTAATTTGTCTTACCGAATAGCAGGGATCTAGGATAGATTATACTCACTAGGATGAAATTATCCTTTCTTACAATGTCTCACAATAATTAATTAGGGAGAAAAACCAAAATAACGCTCTTAATTAGAGCCTTAAGATACTCTAAATAGTAGTGTTATATGTTTCGTACCTATGATTCCGATTTTGTCCTTTAATTAAACAGAACATATTAATTACACACTGCCAAAAATATATGATTGTTTTGGACAGTGTGGTTATTCACTTGTACCTGTGTGGTGCCAGTGTAATTTTTTATATGTGAGTATTAAATGTGACAATGTAGAATATTTATATGTTATATCTTATGGCAGTGTGTACGTGTAATATTGTGTTCCCTAATTTCATGTTAGAGTGTAATGTCAATTGATTTATGAGGCAGTATTTTCATGTATAAATTCTATACTGTCAAAAAGTGTATGACTATTTTCATGTATGAATTCCACATTGTTTTCGTGTATGAATTATACACTGCCAAAAATGTGTATGACTATTTTCATATTTGAATTCCACACTGCCCAAAAATGTATGACAAATTTCATTAATTATCTATTACCCCAAAACACACTGGCCAAACATGGGCGTTAAATATGAAATTTAATTTAAAATGTACGAATTTGTTTAGGTATTATACATTGGTAAACTGCGTAGGAGGAGGATCTCGTAGAGCTATGGTAAACGGCGTAAGATGTATTCTCGCACGAATGAGGAGGAGCCGCACGTATGAGGAGGAGTGGCTACGTGAATAACCCAAGTTTAATCAAATAATTAAAGATAATTAAAAATAGTAGAATATAATAAAAGGTAGAGGATATGCTTAGAAGATATTGGCACTATAAATAGCTAAATTCGTAAAAAAGATTAAGGAGTGCTATATGCGTAATATTGAGTGACTTAGAATGCTACGTAGGGTAAAATTCACAGTTCGGTATAAGAGATTTGACTGAAATTATTTTTAATTCATTTTATTTTATTATAAGTGTAAAATTAAAAAATAAAAATTGTATATTTCAAAACTACATTAAGAGATCTACAAAACAAGAGGTGACATGACTATATTATTTTATCATATAACTAACAAAAATAGGTAATGAAAATAATTATATTTTGACCATATGAATAGTGTCTGAAAAAAACATTTTAAGACAGAAAAAGTACTTCTCTGTCAAAAAATAAATATCATAGTTTGATTTTTTGTCAAATTATGATTCATTTTGACAACAAAACAAATGATTCATTTTTTAAGTACTTATTAAAATAAATTTAATTATATAAAATTTACATTATATTTATTTTTGTTTTTCACAATGTGTAATAAAAATGTCAAACTCTGATCCGGAGAGTAAAGCTGTGACATTCGTTTCCAATGAAGGTAGTAATTTATTCGGTATAATGCCGGACGGGGGATGAGAGGAAAATATTTAGTTTTTATGACATCAAATTTGTCGGAAATAAATTATACCTCGGTCATATTTTGAAAATATTTCATATAATAAATTTAATAAAATTATTGTTGAATCAATATCTAATATTATTTTTATTTAATTTGAGTTCAAAATTTACTAATTTTGACTGAAAAAGTCAAAAGTAAATCAATACTTAATGATGGTGTAAATTATCGACCGGTGTATCATTGTTAGCCGGGCAAAAACGATAAACTAGTCTAAAAAATACACCAAAATATAAACACGGGAATTTTGACGTGGAAACCCAAATTGGGAGAAAAATACGGGCCCATTTTGGCGGTACCTTGCCAACGGGAGATTTTTATTACTATCGGGGGTGTGTACATGGTACATGGTTTAGGCTCGGAAGCCATTAATGAAGCTTAAAAGCTTATTGAAGAACAAAAACTATAAAATTCTAGAGAGAGAAAGTGTAATAGGCATGGGAGAGAGTGAACATGGCCTCCCCTAACAATTAGGGCAACCCTCTTTTTTATAGGAGAGAGTGGGAGCATCTACGGAACAATATTCTCTTATTTCTCTATTTTATTAAACAGGTCCGGTTTGACTGTTCTTTGTAAATAATTGGAAAATGTAGGCCGTGCCATGTATTATTTCCCATCAAGAAGTCCTCTACTTTTTTAAGTTGTGAGAATCCTCAACATAAAAAGTAAGCAAGTCCTCCGAGTGCCATCTTCAGTTTTCGTTCTTTGGATTCTTGACCGGTTGATATTATTGCTAGTGCTTCGAGTCTCCATTCATTCTCTAATTTCTTGAATCAGAAGTTTTTCCTGCAAAAAATAATATGTACAACATTTTTTTTGACCGACCTATGCCGTGCCACAAAAATTATTATCTTTATCGAGGAGCTCGGTATTAGGTGATTAAAATTTGCGTGAATAAATATCGTAATGAGAGCGATATTAGTTCGATAAAGCAACGATGCTTCGAGTAGTTATACGATACCAGAGTTAGTATGATGAAGCGACGGTGCCTCAAGTAGTTATTTCGTCGAGAGAGTCGTGGCCGGAGTTGAGTTTGACTAGGCCAAAAATGGGGAGGCTATATTTGTTGACGGTGAGGAAGTAACCAACGAGTGGGTTAGAGATGTTGGTGCGTTAGGATTCGTCGATGTTTTGTTGTACCATGGAAGTGCCGGTGCAGATGGTCTCCTCCACGCCGTTACCGGCGGAGGAGGAGGATTGGTCGCTGTCTTCCTCTGGGGAAGAAAATGGCACGGTGAGAACGATGTGGCCTCCCATCTTTTGCTCCTTGAAGATTCTGCGACGTGTCTTTGTCTGTCCAGAATGAGTCTCCAACGTACCGGGACCGGAACCTGCCTAGAATGTTGCCGCCGCCGTAGCCCAGCCGCTCGAGGAGTTGCTGTTGTGATCGTTGGCTACCTTCCTCCTTCTCTTCCTCTTCCTTCCCCTGTTTCTAGCAGCGGCGGTTCATTTCCTCTTCTTTTGACTAGTTCTCCTCTTTTGGTTGAGAAAAATGAAAGAAGGGAGCAAAATGGCAATTTTCTCAAGTCCCACGGTCGGCGCCAAAATGATGGTGTAAATTATCGACCGGTATATCGTTTTTAGCCGGGCAAAAATGATAAACTAGTGTAAAAATACACCAAAATATAAAAACATGGATTTTGACGTGGAAACCCAAATCGGGAGAAAACCACGGGCCTTTTTTGGTGGTACCTTGCCAACGGGGGATTTTTATTAATATTGGGGGTTGTACATAGTACAAGATTTAGGCTAGGAAGCCATTAATGGAGCTTTTGAGCTCTTAAAGAAGAAGAAAAATACATGCTATTCTAGAGAGATAAAAGAATTTGGGCAGAATGGAGTGGATGTGGCCTCCTCTTCTTAGTGGAATAGCTCTCCTTTTATAGGAGGGAGGAAGAGCATCTTCGGAGGAATATTCTCTTATTCCTTTATTTTACGAAATAGGCTCAATTTGATTATTCTTCATAAATAATTGGAGAAAGTGGGCTGAGTCAGGTATTATTTCCCATCACTTAAGAGCAGAGAACTTTTTTTAATGAAGTATTTGTGGCAAATTTTAAAATCGGTCCCAAATGATGTGTTATAAAAAGTATTTGTGGCAAAATTCGATGAAACAAGAACACAATTTGTTTTGCAGTGACACCTTTTTATTTTATTTAATCTTTATTCTTTTTAATTCTTCTTTTTCTGGCCGAACCAAACGAAATTCTGATGACAAATAAAACTCACATACTCAATAGTGTGTCACATCAACACTATGTTTGGTTTAAGGAAAATGAAAGGAAAAAAAAAGAAAATAATTTTGCCTCAATTTCCTTACTAAAATGAAATAATTTGGTTTTCTCTCATCTTAGTACATTTTGCTTTCTCATTTTCTTTTCCTCCCATTTTTCTTTTCTTTCTTTTCTAACCAAACAAGAAAAATGTTTTCTTTCTCATTTTCATTTTCTTTCCCTCTCAAATTCCTTGAACCAAACATAGTGGAAAGAATTCCGGCAATGGAAATTTTTTTTGCAGCAATCTCCCCATGCATACTTTGTAACACCCTAATCCGTCCAGGTCTGCAGCTCCATTCAGACTAAAGTATTTAACTTGGTAATCATAAAATTTAAAACTTTTCAAACACACTTTACTCAACATCTACTCTTAAAGAGAGTCTTGTTCTTGAGTGTTCCTAGTGTTGTAAACACGTTTAGTGAAGCTTGTTTCCCTTGGTTGTACGAAGGAAAGGTATTTTCCTTCGGGTTGAAGTCTTGGAGTGCGGTATCTCCGAGCAAGTGTATTGAGACTCGTGGGACTCGAGTTCTCAGGTTGTAACGGTTTGTTAAGCACCCGTAAGCTTAACGGAAGTAGTGTAGCTCGAGAGAGTCTCTCGGGAGGCTGGATTAACCACAAGTTGTGGTGAACCAGGGTAAATCTTGGTGTGCTCCCTTTACTCATTATTATTCCGCTCTTTACTTTATCCCTGTGATTTTTATTCCGCGAAAATTTATAAACATTCTCGTGCCTCACTATTCACCCCCCCTCTAGTGAAGGGCACTTATTCTAACAATTGGTATCGGAGTCTAACTCGCGTCTAAACTTAACCGTTTGAGAGTAAAGCGATCATGGGTTCTTCTTCTAGAAATCTTTATGCAGGAATTGGAGAAGGTCAATCAACCTCTAGGCCACCGCTTTTTGATGGCACCAACTACACATATTGGAAAGAGCGGATGAGAATTTATATCCGCTCAACCAACTTCCAGTTGTGGTTGGTTATCAAAAACGGCAAAGAAACGCCAATGAAGAAGTTCGATGAAAAACTCGTCCCAAAGACCGAAGATGAATTTGATGCCGAAGACATCAAAAAGGTGGAGAACTACGCCAAGGCAATCAACATGCTGTACTGTGCGGTCAATCCTGATGATTATCACAAGATCTCTTGTTGCACCACGGAAAAAGAAATGTGGGACAAGCTGGAAGTCACATATGAAGGTACGGGGGAAGCCAAAATTGACTTCCTAACGCAGGAGTATGAGATGTTCAGGATGAAGGAGCATGAGAAGATTGACGATATGTTCGACCGTTTCTCCAAGATAGTCAACAATCTTCATGGATTAAAGAAGACGTACACCGACAGGGATCTTGTGCGAAAGATCCTACGAAGCTTGACATCCGAATGGCGATCCAAGGCCGATGCCATCTATGAATCAATCGGCACATCAAATGTCACCATCGATGGCCTAAGAGGTAATCTAAAAACCTATGAATCGACTATTCTTTGAAAGGTAACCATGCAAGGATAGGCAGCGGAATACAAAAATTTTAACATCCTAACATGATTATCTTGCCCAGAATCACGTACTAAAACTTATAGTAGTAAGAAATTTATACCTTTCTCCGTAAGCGGTAAAAACGAAGAAGTCGAAGGAAGAGCGTTGAAAGTGCAAACGTAACCGTTCAAGCGTCCGGTCTCCAACTTTGACACACGAACAACGCCGGAGTCTACCACAATCTTTATGCTAGTAAAGATTATAGTAGTATAATATATAAAGATTAAAATTTGGGATAATAATAATCTTGTATATTTCTATAGAAAATATTTCCAATAATATTTAGAAAATATTATAGATATTTTCTATACACAAAATGATATTAATGGAACATAAAAGAAATTTTCTCTCACAAGAAAATTATGACCGAACAACACCATAAAAATTGAAATCATAATGAAAGGCTAAGTGTGTGGTGTTTTAAATAAAAACAAAGATGCTCCATTATTTTTGTCATTAGCTAAATGACAAAAATAATTAGTCCACAAATTATCAATCAAGCAAATTAAAACCAATTTGTCAACCTTTAAGATGATATGGCCGAAAGTTTGATTGTAAAAAGTGAGAAGGATTCTTGAAATTTTTCTCCACTTAAATGTTCAAAGTGTATTTTATTTGACACCAAAAATTAATATAAAATTAATTTTAAATCAAATAAAATACCCATATCATTTTTAAACAAGTACTAAATATACTTCAAATAGTTTATGTCAAAATAATTATTTTCATAATTAAAATGACATACCAAAATAAAATATTCAATATATAATATATTTATATATATATATTTCGGCTTTATCATATATATATTAAATGTATATATATATATATATAAACCGTATATATAATATATACTATACTCCAAAATATTTTATTTTACTAATTTTACAAATATACAAATTACTTATTATCCCATTGTTTAATCCTACTCCTTAAATTGTCCAAAGTGTGTGACCCGTATAGGCACTTATAAAGCTGGCCACAGTATTGGCTCTGCACCAATACTATAAGCAATAAGCGGTATCTAACAACACATTATTGCCCCCAGATTATAAGTTAAGACGTTTGCACCGTCAAAACCTTTCCACGACTCAGACTCCGTGTAACTGTATCCCTTTGTCTCAATGTCTAAACTTAATGCAAGGGATTAATAAAATCCAACTTGTATCCATTAAGTCATTCACTGATTTATTAAGTCTGACTAATGGGAACAGACGTCATAAAAGTATCTCAGCATGGCCATGCAATTTCCTTAGTCATAACTTATCAGTGGGCCTCATAAGACATTAATCTCTTTAAAAAGAGTAGTAACAAATCCTATGTACGTAATCTACGTTTCTGAATACGCGCTGCGGCATACCCAAAACAAAGCCTGTATACCATCCTTATTTCATATGTCTTAGGAGAATGCATCAAAGTATGCGGGTTCACATATGCAGAAAACGTAATACTTCAAGTCGAAGGATAGTTACACCCGTAGTCGCGCTAAAGATGCTTAGAGCATGAACTAAAAATTCAAGCAACATCTTTAGAATGGGTCAGTCCGGCATCCTATTATCTCTAGATAATATCTGCCCATGTGCGGATGCGAACACACCGTCATTGACCATGAGACTAAGTCAAACATCCAACACACACTAGTCTCACATGCATTAACGATATCCTACTCTCGTTAATACTCGACTATGGACATTTAGATAAATATTTATTTCAAGATGTTACTCTCATCAGCAGAATAACATTATCTGATAAACATCTTTAAAAATAAATCTAGGAATATAATATTTGTTTACATTAGCATGAGATGTGAAAACATATTATATCTGCCTATACATAATAGAATAATGATAAACAGTTGGCCATCAGGGCACAACTCCAACATTCTTAATCCGTCTTTGAATGACCAAAGGAAAGGGATAGCACTAAAAGCCGTCAAAGAATCAACGATGGGTGATTCAAGTGACGATGATGAAGTTAAGATTGTCATGAAGAAGTTATGCAAACTTCTAAGAAAGAAAGAAAAGGTTGAGGATGGCCCTGTGTGCTATGGATGTGGAGAAGCCGGGCACATCAAGAACAAATGCCCGAAAAGCGGAAGGAATGCTCGATACTTCAAAAGGCAAAGGGCGTATATCTCTTGGGGTGGAGACTCCGGCGACGAGTCAACCGACCAAGTTGAGGATGAAGCTGCCAACCTCTGTCTCATGGCACACGAAGACCAAACCAACGATGTACAAGAGGTATGTACCATTTCTTCTGACTCTTACACTTTTGAAGAAATGCAAGAAGCACTTCGCGAACTTTATGATGAATTTGTTAGCGCTTCTAAACTCAACAAATCGTTAAAGAAACGCCTTTCCACTCTTGAAAATAATTTTGAAAAGTTGGAAAAAGATAATGAGAAGTTGAAACAAGAAAATAAATTTTATGGCAAAAGAAGCGCCAACAAACCGGAAATTTCCTCAAACGAATTTGAATCTTGTAAAGTTTTAAAGGAACAAGTCACTAAACTTGAGAGTACGGTTAAGAAATTTAATACTCCGCACAAAAATCTTAATTTACTCCTTGAAACCATGCATTTTTCTAAAGAAGGAATAGGTTTTGATAAAAATGAATCTAAGGATAAAAACGTTGAGCAAACACCTAGACAATCTCCTAAGGCTCAACATAAGAAAAGTAAAAATCAGGATAATAGAAAATCTAGTCAACCTAAGGACACTAGACAACCTAGACAAAAGCCTAGGAATGAAAATGTGCATGTTAGACAACCCAAGAAAAACTATCAAAATGATTTTGTGCATAAAATTAATTTTTCAAATAGACAAAATAATGCTAGAAGACCTAGAAGAGAGAGTTTTCAAAAACCAATATTTTCCCAAAATAGGATGAATATGGTTAGGCCCCCTAGCTATTATCAACCTAGGCACATGTTCAACCCAAACGCAGTATGCCACTATTGCAATAGGGTAGGACATATAGTTTCCGTGTGTTTCACCAGACATAGGCACTTCACCTACAATGAAACACACAACGTATTTGGTGCTAATGAAAAGAAATCCTTTGGAAAAGGATATTCAAATCATAAACAATCTCCACAGGACAATGCACAAAATAAACCTTATTATTTCTTCTACTTTGACGAAAAGAAGAATGTCCACATTCCGTTACCGGAACCGACACAAATCACACCAAGATATCGGCACTCCGTTCAGGTAGATTGGAACCCGCCAACCACGAGACGATGGGTTGGCCAAGGTAACTCCTAAACAATCAATTAATCGTGTATGTGTGTGTGTGCGCGCATATGGAAACATATTTTGGGTGTGTGTGTGGGCAATAAAGGTAAACTAACCCCCAAGGACCCATATACTTACTTTGGGTACCAAAGTGTTGTTCTTTTTTGCAGGGACGGTCCAAAGTGAAGAAATCCGGAAGTCAGGGGGAACCAGCGATGGGTGGGTTATACCATCGCTGGGATGGAAGCTTCTTGCTTTCAAAACCCCTCTTCCCATCGATGGGTTATTGACTCTATTTTTTTTAAAAAAAAAGGTTAACAGATTTCCAGAACACCTTTACCCATCGATGGGTAGTTTATCCCATCGCTGGGTGAGTGCTTGCTTTTGTTTCAGAACCTCCCAACCCATCGATGGGAAGTTCCTCCCATCACTGGGTGTTTGACACTATTTTTTTTTAAAATTTTTAACGGATTTTCAAAACTACCAACCCAGCGATGGGAGGGTATTAACATCGCTGGGGAGGCCATGTTCTTTTCTTCGTCAATTTCCAGAAGCCATCTTCCCATCGATGGGAAAATCCAAACATCGCTGGGAAGGCAGCCTTGGGTTCTTCCTCGCTTTCCAGTGGCGACCTTCCCATCGATGGGTAGATCCTACCATCGCTGGGAAGGCATCTGCATTTCAAAACTTCAGAGCTGTTGGGCACCACATTAATTGCCCAACAGCTATCTTTTTGAATCCAAACAGCCTAATCTCCCATTCCCTATATATATCCCTCATATTTGCTCATTCTAATACACCATTAACATCATAATTTCATTCCTTGATCCAAATCTCAATATTTCATCTCCTTTTTTTCTTCAAAAACGCCACAACTATGGCCGGAGGAAAGAGGACAAAGGTTTCCAAGAAGAAGGGCAACACCGAAGCTACAACCTTAGCGCCCCAGCCGTTCCCCTACCTGGACGGCTCGTTTCTTGAGTTCGGGTCGGAGGAGGAACTCAACCGGTTCCTCACGCACTTTGCCAAGCGTCCCATTTCTCCGCCTAGGGTGCTGCCCGACTTGTACCCTCAACAAAAGGGGTACCACGACCTCGACAATCAGCTTCAACCGTCGGGTCTGTGGTCGTTCGTCTCCAGGAGCCGCTCGAGCTTCAATCCCGCCTTTGTCCGGGGATTCTACTCCAATCTGCACCGTGACGGGGACACCATTCGCAGCAGCATCAATCTCTACGACATAGAGATTGATTTGCCTACGTTTTCTCGGGTCGCAGGGCTGCCCATCCGCGGTGACGACATCGCAACTTATGGTGGCGACGATTGGATCCTCAACAACGAGGCAGTCGTCATTTGTGAGCTTGGGATCACAAACTTGATCCGCCACAGCGGAGCATTGACGATTCACTCGGCCCCACCGGACAAGTGCCTCCTCCTCTACATCATCACCCGGATTCTCCGCCCCCGGGACAGCAGCCATACCTCGCTCTTCAACGAGGACTCTAAGGCGATTCATGCCATCATCCACGGCGCCTCCATCAATTGGGCGAAATTCGTGATGATCCACATGGCGGACTGCGCCTCCATCGCCACTGAGCGGAGCTTGCCATATGCCTTCCTCGTCATGGACCTCATCATATCCGCCGACATCTCCATCGCCGGCCCGGATACGAAGATGACAAAGATTTGGATAATTCAAGACAGCACCCTCCGGAAGAAGTCCGGAGACCGGGACGGCGCAGGCCCAAGTCGTGCACCAACCCCCGCTCCCGCGAAGGCCTCTTTGCAATCCATAGCCGATACTCTGAATCGGCTAACCCTCACAGTGGATGGCATGGGGCAGTCAATCAAGTGGATGGACTGGACGCTGCAACGCCAACACCACGACATGACGGCGTTCTTTCGCGGCATCAACTACGTCCCGCCGCCCTTTGACAGCACCTTCCTCGGACAAAACTATGAAGGCGAGGACGAGGAGGATAACTCCTATGCTCCATCCTCCTCCCCCGACGAGGCCGACTTTGAAGATGCGGTCGACGGCGATCCCATGGACGTCGAGGACGACGAGGATGACGACGAGGACGCCGATGCTTAGACTATTCTTTTCTCTTCTTACTATGAATGTATTTTTTATTTCCATTCCGTTGTATTCCGCATTTCCCTTTTTCATGAATAAAAGTTTACTTTTACAATTCTAAAGTTTACTTTTAATTCTTTTTGTTAATGTCAAAAGGGGGAAGATAATGCCAAACCGCTGTGATCAAGTTTTTCGTACTAAAGCCATGTTCGTCTTTGTAACAGGTTTTGATAATGCCAAACCGCTGTGATCAAGTCGAACATTGAATATACAAGGCGAAGAACGAAGATAAGAGCAAGAGCTAAACGAAGACCAAGAACGAAGACCTTAGTCATAGTATTGAGTCGGTCTTTATTGTGATCAAGACCGACCTAATCTTTACACCTTGGCTCTTTAGGCTAAAATCTCTCATTGCATTTCTTACATCATAAAAATGTTTTTCAAACTTGTTTAAGTCATTAAAAACACTTGATGTTCGCCCAAACCAAAAACCAAGCCATTCAGTGTTCGGCTTTCAGAAACCAGCGTTCGGCTTTCGGTTGTCGGGTTTGGTTTTTGGCATCCGGACCAACCAAGTGGTTTTCAGCATTTTATTATTTGATTTCACTCTTTGGCATGTTTAAACGGTTCTCCAACAAAAACACTTTGAAAACCATCTCTCGCTTTTAGTCGTTTAACAAAAATCACGCAAAACAGCGTAAACTTGGCTAGCCGTGGTTTTTACTCAAATGACATGATTTTTAAAGTGTCTCACTTGATTTCTTAGCCAAATACCATCGATGGGAAGGCATGACCGTTGGAAGTCATTTAAGGTTGATTCTTTCCTTGTTTGCAAGTCAACCTCCCACCCAGCGATGGGAAGCTTGTACCCATTGATGGGTAGGTAACCGTTGGCTTCTAAACTGAAGGAAAATTGGCTTACCAGCGATGGGTAAGTTCCAAACATCGATGGGAAGCCAATATCCTGCAGATCCCAAATTTATTCAATCCCATAAATCAAGCCAATCACCCCTTTAATGTATTGGTCCGTTGGGGCCTATTTTGGCACTATAAAAAGGGGTGTTTGGGTCTACTTTTCTCATCAATTCACTTCACTTTATTCATATTATCATTGCATCCAAACAACATTATTTTCCATAGCTTTCTAGAGCCAATTTGTGAAGTTTGAGTTGTTCTTGAGCGTATATAGTTTACTCAACATCTACTCTTAAAGAGAGTCTTATTCTTGAGTGTTCTTAGTGTTGGAAACACGTTTAGGGAAGCTTGTTTCCCTTGGTTGTACGAAGGAAAGGTATTTTCCTTCGGGTTGAAGTCTTGGAGTGCGGTATCTTCGAGCAAGTGTACTGAGGCTCGTCGTGGGACTCAAGTTCTCAAGTTGTAACGGTTTGTTAAGCACCCGTAAGTTTAACGGAAGTAGTGTAGCTGGAGAGAGTCTCTCGGGAGGCTGGATTAGCCACAAGTCATGGTGAACCAGGGTAAATCTTGGTTTGCTCCCTGTATTCCTTATTATTCCGCTCTTTACTTTATCCCTGCGATTTTTATTCCGCGAAAATTTATAAACATTCTCGTGCCTTACTATTCACCCCCCCCCCTCTAGTGAAGGGCACTTATTCTAACAAATATGAGAACCTTTTTGAATAAAAGTCAACTGAATCAATTTTGACTATGTCAAAGTCAAACACCCAAAAATATGATTTCAGAAAAAGTACCAGAAATCAATATGAAAATTATATCGTTGGATAGAGCTTAACTATCCGATTACAACAGTTCAAACGGAATTCAATTCGAAGAAAGTTGGACAAAAAAGTGTACCCCGACTTGAACCAAAATTGGTCCCAATCAGGGAATTGCGTATCAAATATTGGAGATCGCCGCTGAATCCACTATGCCGATTGTGAGTCACAAATGACTCAGCAACAAATTGTTACTTCCTTCTCCAAATTCTATAAATGGGCACCTTCACTCCTCTCAATTCTGCACTAAACTTCTTGAAATTAGTACCATTCCTTGAAGTATTCAAGAAGGTGCACATGATTTTATTGAAGTCCGAGACGTGTGTGGAGCGCTTAACAGAAGACTCGGAGGAGTAGAAGATTTCCGAAGACTTTTTATTTATTTGAGTCTTAGGAACTATTGTAAGGATGACAAAAATATCTTCTCTCCAAAACTATTTTTATGAGAGTTAAAATAAAAATTATATTTATTTTTGGAGTGAGTTGAAAAATCTTTTTAACTGTTCAAAATAGTTTTACTGAGTCAGTTACAAAAAAAAGTGTGTCAAACATTTATCAAATATTTATTTTGATATTATAAAATATTTTTGGTAAGCAAAAATATTTTATTCAAATATTTTTCGTGTACATCATTTGACACACAAAATAATTTTTGGACTCACTTTTTACTCCCTTATTCAAATACTTTGAATAGGAGAGGTTTTGTTTGAGGAGCGTCTCTCATTCCTCTTGTCTGAAACAATCGCGTCAAGACATTTTTTACTTCTCATCTCGCAACTGGCTTGGGGCCCTTGTGTTTGTGCATCATTTCAAATCTAATCGATTAATATTCTCACATTAATCGATTTACTCAGTTTTGTTTTGATTAATCGATTAAATTCTCTTGATTAATCGATTAATTGAGTTTTACTTCGTGTTGAGCTTCTTTGATATAATCGATTTTTTTCTTCCCATTAATCGATTAGTTTACTCAGACCATTCTAATCGATTAATAGCTTTGATTTAATCGATTATCTTTTTGCACAGACTGCATTAATCGATTATTGGCACTACATTAATTGATTATTATGCTGCATCTTTTCAGCACAGCTTCTTTTCTTGGACCAACGGATTTATTCCTTCAACCCCTTTATAAACCTCACTCCTTGGTCATTTTTAGAAATGAACAAGCAGAGGATTTTAGGGGTTAGAACTCCAATATTAGGAGGTAAGTAAAGAAGGAGTTTAACTATATAAAACTCTCTTTTGATTCACAAAAGTTCTCTCACAAGAACAGTAGGTATCTCGAATTAGAAAAGAGTAAAGATGAGAACACTCTCAATAACGACTCTCCAACTTCTTCTAACAAGAAGAACAACTTCAAGGCTTATGAGATTTAAGTCTTGGTTGTGAAGTCTTGTAGAGGGCATATCTACGAGCGGTTGTGTCGAGGCTTGTGGGATTCAAGTTCTCGAGTTGTAAACGATTTGTTAAGCACCCGTAAGCTTAACTAAAGTAGTGGTAGCTTCGAGAGAGTCTCTCGAGGAATTGGACTAGCCACAAGGTGGTGAACCAGTATACATCGGTGTGTTCTTTGCCTTCTCTCTTTTATTTCCGCTGCACTTACGTTTATATTATTAATCCTGCGAAAATCTTTAATCATTCTCAACAACTCTATTCACCCCCCCTCTAGAGTTGCACGCATTGTCTAACACAAGTATCCTCCACTTCCGTGGTAGGACTTGAGAGTAAAGACACACAGCTAGGGTTCTAAATCCCAATTCCTCGGTGATTTAAAATCTATTCTGAAATACAAGAATGTCATCGAGGACAACAACAACATCCTAGCAACAATAAGATCATTCTCCAGAAACAACCTAGAGCAATATCTCATATCTCACACTAATCCATCAAGAACAAGCACAAATCAAGAATTCATCCCTAACCTAGGCTAGAAATTCTAGCCTATCATGCTTAAACTAAGAGATGCATAAAGATAAGAGAGCTAGAAATAAGGTAAAGACATAAACGAGATGAAGAAATAAAGATTAATACTAAGAGACAACTAAATAATATTAAAGAGAAATTATCTAAGGTTGGAGCTCCCAAACTAAAATGGAATGATAAAGAAAATAAAGAAAACCCTAGTCTAAGAACATGAAAATGTAAATGGGGGAGCTCCCTTGACATATTGGAGCTAGGGGAGTATATATAGAGTAGGAGAAAGTGGGAGTAAAATAAAATAAAAGGGTTTATAATTGAAATTAATAAAAGAAGAAGCAGGGGCAATTTGGGCTTTTCACAAGTAAAATTAAATCTAGATTTTGAACCTGCTCCACGTCTTCTTTATTTCACCGAAAGGGATGGACGTGGGTCATCGTCGGTGCTGGAAGCTCGTCGCTTGTCATAGCCAGAGCTAGGGAGCTCGATGCTCGCTGCGTCTAGGTCAACACCGGAAGAATGGACGTTGTTGGACGCCAACGGCTGGTGCTAATGGTTTCAAGGAACCAACTCAACCAAAAGCTCAAGTCTATGGTTGTGGCCCAGGAAGAGTTATTTATACTCTAACACGGCCCCTCACGTGCAGGCGTAGTCTTTTTCGAGCCTTGTACGTGAAACTTTAATTTTCTTAAAACTGGGTGGCGCTGAGTTTCGAGCCTGTGACCTCTTAGTCAAGAAGGCTCAGATACCATGTCAAGGAACCAACTCAACCAAAAGCTCAAGTTAATGTATGGTTTCTGTTAGAACTATCTAAGTATGTACGAAGTAATATCTATTCCAATGGTCTTCTAGTGTTTTCCCACTTTTCTCCTTTGTAATATAGAGACTACTCTATTTAGTAAAATATTTTTTTAAGTTTGGGTTCGGTCCATTCGGTCTATATCGGTTCGGTCTCTAGCATTTCAGTTCGATCCAGTCTAAAACCGAGTACATTTTGGTCCGGTTCTGGACCGATGAACAGCCCTACGCGTGACGAGGTTTCCCAGTTTGGAGAGTGAGTTTCCTAGGAGTAACCCTCAAGAAGCTTCTCCAAGTCATCCTCACAGTTGGGAGCATCGACCGGTAGGGCATACTTATGATTGAGGGAGATCAGAAATAAAGGCCCTACCCTGAAGCGATGTGAAATAAATGAACCCCTCACATCCAGTCTTTCCAGGGAAAACCTCAAACAAGTAAATGAAAAGGAAAAGGGTGGGATGTATGCCGAGTGACTAACAAATGTTTACAAAGAAATTTAGTAGCTAATGAGCGTTGGGAGTAATTTGACGGGGAAGAATGGAAAAGACTTGACAGACCCCGACGAGTAGATGACAGAGGGGGAAGATAATTCCACCCTCCACGGACTTAATGTGAAAGGTAACATGGGTACCCACATGACGGGCGACAATGTTGGGCCACCCCGGGTCCTAGTAAAGCATGTATCCATCTTGAAGAAGTTGGCAGGCTTTATTTAGGATATTTCTAGACGTAGAGGGGTGGATCTCCCTAACATTGTTTGTAGGAAGTGGGAAGTAACCAGATTCCCATAACCTGGTCTCCCACTCCCCCGGGGTCTCCCTCTTCGGGTCATAGGGACCCAGTTCCTTGTTCAGGGGTGCAGGGTTTGGAATGGCCACTCCAGCCAAGGCAAAATGTGATTGAGTGTAAATGGAAGAAGGGGTGGAAGAAAATTGGGAAACAAACTCGTTTGGTCCATAAAAATGAACAGAAGGGTTTTGACTATCATTATGGGACATGACCGGGTACGAAAGCAAATAGAAAGGAGGCTCATAGAAATTACTTGTCGCGCCAAAAAAAATTGAAGGACTCGAAGGAGAATTGGTTGATGATCTAAGGAACGGACGTAAAGACATGAGAGAAGAGAGGAGGGGAGAGGCCTTAAATAGGCGAAAAAGATTTTGGGGATGACAGCAGATGACATGTCTAATCCATGGAAGAGCGACAACTGCCAGACGCAATGATGGCACATCATCAAAGATGCATAGGGAAGGCCAAACGACCGGATAACTGCATAAGGGCGGCGAACTTTTGAAATTTGAAAATCAAAAGTTCAATTTTTTGGGCGGAAAAATAGTGTCTGTTCAAAAATCCAAAAGAACACGCCTGGGTGAAGAGAACTACTTACCGCCCTTGTTAATTCTTACAAGCCCGGTAAGTGGAGGACTTATTAATGGGTGTATTCCCACTCAAGACCCGACTGGGTCGGAAAGCTGCTAGAACCAACCAGGTGACCTATGAACGGCTTGTCCCAGGGTACCTGATGCAGTTCAGAGTCTGACCATCCAGGCGGAAAAGTACTCGCATGGGTCGGCCCACACAGTATTATCCATCAAGAAACTAGCCTTGCTTGAAGAGCTCCAGATCAACAAAACATCCCCTAGAAGAAACCACTCGGGTGGTTTCATCTGGACGCGTAAACACAGGCAGCCTGGCTTGCTTGGAGGGTAGTGGTTTTGAAACGACATGGCAGGAAGCAGGATGGATCCCCTGCACCAACGTATATAATCGAGCACTCCAGCGAAATACTACGCGACAAGAGGACAGTGGCAAAGCATAACTGGCAGAGTGCAGGGACGAGCACTACAAGACTATGCGCTATCAGATCAGGCACCCTGTCACATGGATAGCACGTTGCCTGGCATGCGAACCCATCAACCTATCCCCCCAATCTGCACTATAAATATACTTGTAATCTTTACTACAAGGGGTCTGAATTTCTTCTCTCTTAATCACATTGTGTAAGTCCTCCATGTACTCTTCCCACACTTAATAAAAATTAGACTACAGATGTTCCCACCTACAGTCCTCTTGGCCAATCTTCATTTCTTGAGTCCTTTCAGTATCTAAACTCATCAAATCACCCTATACCCGATCTAGAGTAGTTTTTCCGAGTGGTTAATTATATTTACACCATCACCGAAAGGGCACTACTACAAGTGTAAAATGCATCACGTACGCTAAAATTATATATATGGATAGAGTTAGTATAAAAAATACTACTCGCTGTTCCAAAAAATCTTTCTACCCATACTTTGACGGGAGAAGGACCAAAGTAGTAGTAAAACATATGACATATCCTCAAAATAAGAGTTGAAACATAAACTCCCCAAAATAGGAGTAATTAACTTTTAATTAGTCTAATGGCTTAAAATTAAAGAGCGAAATACAAGTAAAACATTGACCATGTACCCAAATAGAAGTTATATTCATATTAAAAATATGAAATTAAATAAATTTTATAAATTAAAAAATCCTAAAATAGCTACAGCCCCCGCCACACATGTCACTGTCGCCACCCCTTCCGCCATTGCCGCTACTATTGTCGTCGCCACTCCATCGCCACAATCTCTTGGTGTCGTCGCTATTAAATGCGGTCACCATCTACATTGTTGCTGCCACTGCACTAACACCGCCACGGTGAGTGAATTCGCCTTCATCGCCACCACGATCTGCCGCTCTCATCCCCATTTGTTGCGGGTGTCGCCTCCATCGTCCCCATTTGCTGTTGTCAATGTCGCAATTTACTACCAACGTTGGGATCAAAACTGTCATTGTCGCCACCATAGTGACATGGTGTCACTGCTAAAGGAAAAAGCTTTCAATACAATGCCAACTAAAGCCACAATGTCAGACGATAATGCATACTGACAAACATGTCATTGCATAATGCCAAATATGTTATTGCGTAATGTCAAACATGTCAATATAAAATGTCAAAAAGAAAGTGAAATGTCAAGATTGCCAACATACAATATCAATTTTCTTATCACTATCACCAAATTTTGCTGAAATTGGGAGAAAAATTTAAACACAACTAATAAAAATCAATTAAATAAAAAAAATTAAAAGAAAAATAATCAAATACACAAATGAAAAGAAAAAATCAAACCAAAATATGTTAGACAATAATACTAATATTGCTTCTGGTAGTGGTTATGATAGTGTTTGATTATTAGTCAGCTTTCTACTCCTATTTGTATTAGATGTTGTATTTTAGTTAGTCTCCATTCTCTATTCCTAGTTGTGTTAGGAGTCTCTTCTATGTATACTATTAGACAAATGCGCAACTCTAGAGGGGGGGTGAATAGAGTTGTTCTCAAGAATAAGCGTTTTTCGCGTGTGTGAAATAACGGAATCGCAGAAATAAAATAAAGAGAGTAAGGGAAAGAAGAACACCGAGATTTATACTGGTTCACCACCTCGTGGCTAATCCAGTCTTCCGAGAGACTCTCTCGAAAGTCCTACTAATCTTCAAGCTTCAACGGGTGCTTGAAAAACCGGTACAACTTGAGAACTTGAATCACACAAGCCTCACTTTCTTACAACAACAAGACTTGAGTCACACAAGTCTTACGAACAATCACTCAAAAGAGATTGAGTTTACAACACAAGAATGAAAGCTCACACAATTGAGCAAGTAGTGTTTGAAAGATTTAAGCTCTATGGATGACAACTTCTTTAGCACTCAAAGAAAAATATTTCAAAATCTCAAAAATAATATTTTGATGAGGAAGATGAAGCAAAGGATGAATATAGCTCAAAGAAATATATTGGAGTGCAAGAGGTGTNGCAACTCTAGAGGGGGGGTGAATAGAGTTGTTCTCAAGAATAAGCGTTTTTCGCGTGTGTGAAATAACGGAATCGCAGAAATAAAATAAAGAGAGTAAGGGAAAGAAGAACACCGAGATTTATACTGGTTCACCACCTCGTGGCTAATCCAGTCTTCCGAGAGACTCTCTCGAAAGTCCTACTAATCTTCAAGCTTCAACGGGTGCTTGAAAAACCGGTACAACTTGAGAACTTGAATCACACAAGCCTCACTTTCTTACAACAACAAGACTTGAGTCACACAAGTCTTACGAACAATCACTCAAAAGAGATTGAGTTTACAACACAAGAATGAAAGCTCACACAATTGAGCAAGTAGTGTTTGAAAGATTTAAGCTCTATGGATGACAACTTCTTTAGCACTCAAAGAAAAATATTTCAAAATCTCAAAAATAATATTTTGATGAGGAAGATGAAGCAAAGGATGAATATAGCTCAAAGAAATATATTGGAGTGCAAGAGGTGTCTTTTGAAATGAAGGAGAATGAGGGATTAAATAGGCTGAGGAAAATAAAGCCGTTGGAGCAGGCTGAGAATATGCACTAGATAAAATTAATCGATTAAAGTAAAAGTTTAAATCGATTACTGTACACAGAAGCGAAAAGCCTGAAAAGAAAACTGAATCATAATCGATTAAATGAAGACAAATAATCGATTAGGAGGTTCGATACGAACTAATCGATTAACGAAGGATAAATAATCGATTATTGATCAAGGTTGAGCAGCCCAACGAATAGTTTATAAATCGATTAAAGTGAAGCAACAAATCGATTAGGAGGTTCTGTCCAAGCTAATCGATTTTCTTAAAAGAAAAAATCGATTAAGAGTTGAAACCTGAGAAATTGCGCTGGATCTAATCGATTATCTTAAAGGATATAATCGATTAAAATGAGAAATAATGCGCAAACACAAAGGGCCCAAGCCAAGTGCGATTGGAAGCACTTTGGCTTCTTACTCGTTGTTTGGGACAACGAGAATAACAAGGCACGCTCCTGGGATTTTATCTCCTATTCAATGAATTTGAGTAGGGGAGAGAAAAAGAGTCCAAAAGAAAATTATTTTGTGTGTCAAACAATACAAGAAAAATATTTAAAGTATATTTTTCTCACCAAAGAAAATTGTGTAATCTTAAAAATGTTTTAAAGAAATTTTGACACACTTATTTTGAAACTGACTCACTAAAATATTTTAGACAGAGGAAATGTGATTTTTCAACTGACTCAAAAATAATTTTTATCCCTCAGAAAAATAATTTGATTGTGCAGAAGATAATGTCATCCTTACAAAAATTCTTAGACTCAATAAAAAATCTTCGGAGTCTTCGCTTCACTTCAAAAAACTGCGTAGGGGTGAGCGTGAATTTTATCGTCGAAACTTCTTGATGACCTTCTTTGCTTTTCTCGATCCGAAAAAAAAAATTTCGAATATCGATTTAATCATCCTGTTTGTCATTCATCAAAACAAAAATAATCCAAAAAATAATAAAGAGGTTTGAACTCATGTCCAACAATTTCCCCCTTTTTGATAATGACAAACATAGTTGAGAAAGAGCAAAGTAAGAGTTTAGAAAATACTTCCTTTTAAGAATAATTCCTCCTGCAAGGTTAGAGAAGTGCAAAAAATAATTATCGGAGTAATAAGCGGAAAAAAATAATTTGAAAATAAAGTTTTCTCAACGATCCTTCCTTCCCCCTTTTGGCATTATCAACCGATAACCTTCCCCCTTAAACAATGCCGGGCTATTGAAGGAAAAAGATGGAAAGAGTTTTCCTTAAAATGCCACAAGAGGACAATATGTTCTAAATAAGAACAATATTGCCACACCAACAATGATATTAATACATAAACAGTTAATATCCACTAGCATCATCGAAAGGAAACATCAACATCCACCAAAAGAGTCATAACAAATAACAATGTATCATAATTAGTCAAGAGAAAATAACAATCAAAGAGAGTTCGCCGGACGAGCTCCTCCGCCAAAGTTGTGACGCGGGCCATGGTAGGAGCGAGATTGCTCAAGACGAGTCATCCTCTCGTTGAGCTGGCGAACGTCATCTCGGATGCACGTGAGAGTATCGAAGATCTTCTTCACCCAAGAAGGTTCCGGTGCTTCTTCTCTCGGACGAGTCCTCCGTTGACGAGTGACGCGCTCCATGGCTCGACTACCTCCGGCTTGAGATGACTCAGCTTGATTCTTGTTTTGGCTTTCTTCTTCTTCTTCGGCGACTATCAGGTCCAGATTTGGTGCAGCATCGCCCTCCTCTCGATACACGATCCGGGAAAACTTGGCTTCAGTGATGAAACACGTCTTCTTGACCGGCACCTGAGTGTCCCGAGTAAAGTCTATTTTGCAATGACCAAGGATATGCATAATGGGGATGGCAAAACGGAGATGGGAAAAACGAGTGCCATCGCTAAGTGCAACGATAAAGAAGTGAACCCAATCAAATTTGACATCGTTCAACAGGACGTGAAACAAACGAATATCGTCCTTGTTGACGACGCCATGGTTCGAATCACGGGGCAACAAAACATATGAGAAGATGTATTGTTGGACGCGTTGAATTAAAGTGAGATTAATGACACTCGGGTTGCTAGAGTTTCTAAACTTGAGGTCACGATGATCTAACCCGAGTTGTCGCCA